TTGAGGATCGTTGAGGCTGCGTACTTTAAGGCTGCAGACCCTGAATTGGGATACAGCCATAGTCCCATCCCCCAGGGCATGAAGCAGGTATGGAGGAGATCCAGCCAGCAGCTACAGAGCAGAGGCCAGAGGGGGTTGCAGTGCCGTGCCCGCGGGCTCTGCCGGCAGCCAGCTGTGCCAGAGAGGACCGAGCTTCAGGCCCAGAGGCCTCAGGGCACCCCAACCCCTGGAAGGGGCCCATCCGGGCCACAGGCGCCAGGCTCCGCCAATCGGCCACCAGGAGTGAGCCGGTACATACATGAGCGCCCAGCCCCAGTCAACAAGAACCATTAACCATTAACCATTAAATGTCATAAATTCCGTTTTCATGGATGCCTGGATGTTAAACTCAATTGTTACACCTGGTAGAGCAGAACGCTGATCATTTTATTAAAGATGAAAGACTTTAGACAGTTTTTCAACTCTCAGTAATGCCACAGTGATCGTTTGATATATGGACCTGCAGCGGAGTTTAGGCCCAGACACGGCTAGTGACGTCAGACTTAACGACCGTATTACCTTGTATGCTACAACAGACAAATAACCAGAGTACTCTATTATGTGTATACTTTATCATGCTTGGTTTCAGGACTGCAGTGTTGACAGTCTTTATGTTGTGTTTTTCTGGATTCGATTGTGCAAATTTTATTTTAAGCTAATGTCTTAAAGAGCGCATTTTAATTTTTATGTTTGAATACATAAAGCACTGCCTTTATGTATTCAAACATAAAAATTAAAATGCGCTCTTTAAGACATTTGCTTAAAATAAAATGTACAGATGGTTAAATGACTGCGATGTAGGTACAGTGACAATGATTTTGATTTTATTTATTCTTGTGTGGCAGCTATTTACTGACTTTAAGAAGTTATTTGAAATTATGTCATGTCATGAATAACAGTTATTTTCCATGAAAGCTAAAAATGGTTAGAATCTCAATAAAAATTAACGAGAAGTACATGCAATTTTACAGTTTTTTGGCTCAACATGTTGTTTTGAGGTTAGGGGTGCCATTAGGTCATGGTTAGGTTTTTGGGTAAGGGTTAGGGTTAGGCATTGATTTCTGATGGTGGGTTAAGGGGCATTATGTCAATTCAGTGTCCTCACTAAGATGTGAAAACTAACGTGTGTGTATCTGTGTGAAGTTTTGATGTGAATCTGAAAAACACAATTTTGAAAACACTGGAAAGACCTGAAGACTCTTTTTCCTTTTCTTTCTATACAAACAAAAATTCCCACTGAGGCTTTTCAGTGTGAAATTTTATTTGTATAGAAAATACCTGTGCCATTTGTCCCTGTTGCCATCTACTGGTGAACATCACCTTAACACTACATCAGGTGAGATTTTCACTCTGCACAGCAACACAAAACTCTTTTAACAACACAAACAAACAACAAAATTAATACATTTTAAAATGATGTAGACAGCTCAAGATAATGTTAACAAAGACTCGGTGAAAACTGAAGTTTATCTTAATCCTTAAAATATGCAGGGAATCACAGTTGCTTATGTCCAGCATCACTCTGTTATTATAAATTTTATCTAAAACGTGGCCAGTTTAATGTCTTAAACTGAAATCACATTAAAGTTTTGATCAACTAAAATCCAGCTGATTTTTTACCCAAAAAGTTAGATGGAGATATAAAAAGTGGGTAGGACAAGGCTTAAAGGTATACTGTACATTTTATGATAAGGGAACTCTTAGGGACTTCCAGTCAATAAAAGATCAATGCCAGTTAAGCAATAGTGATTTTTTTTAGGTTTCTCCAAATCCAGCATCATCTACATAACTTTATACCCAAGAGAATAGATCCTTTCTCTCTTCCTGTTCTGAATATATTTGTTAAGGCATACCATGCGGATCCTGGTCTCAAAGTGATAGACTGTACAAGTGTTTACAGGAAGTTAAGAATATGAATACAATTTACATCAAACAGAAATGGGAAAGGGAAACAAATATGGTAATTTCAAATGACACTTAGTATTAGCAATGAGCTCTGTTATACGGCATTTTGAGTCTGGCTGCCTGAAAGACTATCACTAAGAAATGGCTCAGTGTAAAAATTCCATCACTAAATGACTGACATGAAGTTGTGTATAGGTTGTTTAAAATGGAAAAAATTACATTCTCTAACAGATTTCAATATGATACATTTGTTGAAATTTGGGACATATGGAAATGTTACATTTAGTCAAGGCGTCCCGAATTTGAATGAACCTCCATATTCCAGTATCTTATATTTTTGAATTATTATGTACATATGTTAACTAGTAGGTACATCCCTTGCTTTTTGTGTTTGTTTGTTTATTCTTGTTGTACATGTTGTGTTTTATGTTCCCTATTTTAAAAAATGTATATTTAACAAAAGGTCGACATACTGAAAAGTGACTTTCACACTCTTTAGAATTGTGCCTGTAACTCTGTTTTTCCCTAATGTTTCAATAAATTGCTGCACATATTAAAAATAATAATAATAATTTAAAAAAAACTAAAACTGAGTCAGCACCAAAAAAACCTCGTATCTTTTAAGAATTTGTCCATAGACAGTAGCGTTGCTCTTGAAACACTGGGGCTAAATCTAGACCTGAAATCTTTGGAATTTTCAGTCAATACTGTATACTATTACTGTATTTAATAGTAACATTTATGTAAAATGTCAAACATTATATGCTACCTAAAGGTTGAAGTCACAGAATGATACTGAAATAAACAGTAATGCGAGTTTGTTGTTTGTTGCTAAAGTAAAACTTTTGACGAAGCTCTGGTGATAGAGCCTGTGCCTTTATTGTGCCATAATGTCTCCTTTTAAACTGTCCTCTTGCTCGTCTTTAGGATGCTACCTTCTTCACCTTTCCTGTTCCTTTCACTAAACTGCTCACTCTTGTTCTCCCTGCTCTCACTTCCTGTTCTGTTTAGTCAGCATGTGTCAAAGAAACTCCCCCCAAAACTATCACTTTTTGATATGATTATTAGATATTTAACATGTTATTTATCAACTTATTTTATGCACTGAATCAATGAATTATTAAACAAATACCATACTGTAGAAAATCAAATTATTAATGCACTAAGCAATTTCCTGCCACAACAGCTAAATGGTCCTCAAAGAAAATACTGAATGCCTGCACAGTACAGGCCAGTATTTAATGCAGCCACATATCTACATCAGTCAGCATTCTGCTCTTTCCACCTCATGACGTCTGTCTAAACAGTCATGTCACTTCCTCTTTTGTTAATCTTTGTTTACTTTTAAATTTTGCAGTATTTAGTTTTTTGGGATATTTTATTTTTCCTTTACGCCATTTTTGTCTATGTGTTTTAATGCTCAATCATCCTGGTAAAGAAATAAGTAGATTCTGTTAATCTGGACGTAGCGTTTTTCATCACTCATCCAAGTGACTTCTTCAGTCTCAGCTGACTGCAGGTTTCCACAATCTCATAAACAGTACATTTGCACAATGACTGACACAAACAATGTGCTGTGAGGTCAGTTTCATGACCATTAATATGCAAATTGTCATGACCATTGATCAATGGCCATTCGCAGACAGTTGGGAAATGGCTGCAATCACAGCATTGTAAGATGGTAAAAGATGCACCGTTAGGCCATCTGGCTAAGTGGATGGGACAACACAGAAGAGCTAACTCATCAGGCAGTTTATTTATGCCTACAGGCATGATGAAGACATGCTGGACAGGGAGGAGCACTGGTTTGAGTGCAGAGTCAAAGAGGCCATTTACGTGAAAAGGGAAAGACCATCTCTGAATCGAGGAGGGGGCCTAAGGGAATCATAATGGGCAAGTTTTTTTTGTCTGACTGGTATTCTTGGTCTTCTTGATGCTTTGATTGATTTCATGAGGCTGTCTTGAACATGTCAACATGCCTAAATGCTTTGTATTGCGGACTCACAATTGGTTAATTTGATATTTGCATTATTGAGCAGTTGAACAGGTATACCTGATAAAGTGGCTGCTGAATGTATGTAGTGTGACTTACAGCAGTCGGTGCTATGCTCTCAGGTTGTATATATTTTCTTTGTCTGTTTTCTGATCTGTATGTTTTCATGAGTATTATTTTGCTTTTCTCCATTTCAGCAATTTTTCACATAAATCCGTCACATGTAATTTTTCTGTGTGGATCCTTTTTACTCTGCATTATGCCTAGAGTTTTGCAGAAATCTTTGCAAAATCAGTAAGGTTTTGTAAAGGTAAAGTAAAGAACAATTTAATGTCCAAGTCTTAAAAAGGTGGTGAAAGATTGTTATTCATTAATCACAGAGTTGAAGTGATTGACTGACTGGCACATTTGACAAATGTGAAAAACTTTAGTAGAGGTGAGTCTGTGTCATAAAACTATTTTGAGAACTACATGAAGTGCAGTGAGAATAACATTCCTGCTGTTAACATTGTGCCTAATTGATTGAGACAACCTGTAAAGCCAGGGCGTGAATTACAGCGGATCCTGGCATGACATTCGCACCCTTCATTCTCATACCTGAGAAAAGGTTTGCAGTTTTTCTCAGTTGCTTTGGTGCAATTCTCACATCTGTAGCCACTTTCTCAAAACAATGATCACTAGTGGGAAAGAGTGATGAGAAGAATGTTCCAGCTCTGAGATTTCCACCAAAGTGACTAAAAAACAACAAAACAAACTGTGTTACAAATATGAAATTTTGTCTTACTGGTGCAACTGTATTACAGTGACATAAAAGACAGTTATCCTGCTTCACATACTTGAAAAGGCACACATAGAGACCTCTGTATAAGCAGTTACTAATGAGATTCCCTCTGATGTATATCCCAGTTTAGAAAAACTTTAGCAAAAGCGGAAGTTGTCTTTCTGTTCACGCAATAACATTTATGCGTTCAATTTCATTAGAAAAGTAAAAAGAATATAAGTATTCTTTTAATATTTCTTGTGATGAGTGGCGGGTGTTGTTATGCTAAAAACATTTTCCAGTCCAACAACAGAAGTGAATGAAAAACAGAGAATGAATACCATGACGTGACGTTTCAGTCACCGTCATGCCTAACCTGTTTGGATTGTGGGATGAGCATTCATTTAGTGGAGCAGCCAGCCAAAGTGCAGCATCCTGTAGTGACACAGAGACAAGAGACAGCGTTACACAATGCCACAGGTAAGAAATTCAAATAGAATTTTAATGAAGTTTAGATGACTCACAACAACTTTTACTCAAAATGCCATTCATATTGTTTTAGTCAAAATATCCTACCTATCTGGAATTTGTTCCAAAATATTATTTGGCAGAATCATAAAATATTTTTTTAAAAATCAGGTTTTGGCAGTTAATTTGGTCATTTTGCGCTGAAGAATGAGGCTCTGTCCAGCTCTCAGTCTCCGCAAACCTCACAGTAAACTGTTATCTTTAGAACTGCTTTCTAGTATTTTCTCTATCACCATGTTGCTGCAAGGCTTTTCAAATGTCAGTTTTTGTGCTTGCTTTGTAAACTGCAAACTTTATACAACTCCCCTTGAGTCACATAGTCAAGAAAAACATCGTCTTCACTGCTTAATACCAAGCATACGTAGGGAGGGGTTATTACAGTGTGAGCATGTAAATGTCTTAAATATGTTGCTTGTTTGTGCTTGTTTGTCATGTCTTTTTTTGGTGATTTCTTCTGAAACTTTATTTAGCTGTTACATTTACGTTACATTGACATACATATATTCATATATACAAGCATCGCGCACTTGATTATGCTGAAGATGATTGGAGTCAATAACAAAGGAGTTATTAAGTAATAATGTAGTCAGAACAAATCATTGGAATTCCTATTGCATACAACTGCTTCCCATATTTACTGTATGGGTACCATCATTGCCAACATCATATTCTCTTAGAAATGCTTGTATGTTTGAATGCATCTTTAGTATGTCTTCAGCGTTGTTACTTTCTTAGTCAAAGGCTGACTTTGGAACAATGCCACTGATAGATAAACTGATAAACAGCCATTATCAAATTTTATTTGGAGCAAAAGTGAAACCAGTCAACAATGGGTGTGTCAGCTGCAGAGATGTAATCAGCCTTGTTTAGTGGACCTGAGATCTTGAGACAAATTCCTCTGTAAAAATGTATAGATCACAAGATTTGACTCAACATTGTAATGTGAACATGCACTTATGGTCTCTAAAAATAGAGGGGGGCGGGGGAGAGAAACTGTAGATGCATTTTTTGATAAACTTATTCTGTGTTATTATCTTATTATGTTCCTTCTTTCCTACAGCCAAAGCATCCCCTTCCCCTGCCAAGGAAGCAACTCTCCCTTCCAATCAGTCTTGATGAGCCAGGAAAAAGTGCTCCCCTGTCTCCCACAAAATCTGAAGAGGTTTGGGTTCAGTCGCCTACACTCTCAGAAGTTTAAGCAGTGGCTATATATAAACATATATGGTTGCATTCTAATCATTTTTAATTATTTGGTGATTTTTTTTTCTATTTTAAACTCAGAACATCTGCTCGAGTCCACCACCAGTGTCACCAAAGACGTGGACTGTTAAAAAGAGTCCAGAAGGAAATGGAGTTTTTGTGGAAAAAATAAAGGTACCGCTGGTCTATATCTAATGTTTTTTTTTCTGTCCGCATCTACTCACACAATGAATGCTTTTAATGTGTCACAGAAATGTAGTTTATCTGAAAGCAGTTGAATTGCAGCAGTACAAAGGTCAGACATGTGCATTCAAAGAATCTGAAACTGGTGTCTCTGATCAAACTCTCTGTCATGTTAGATAACACATGAAGTATGTGCACAGTTCAAACAGGATTACCATGTTCAAGGTTGATCTAATAAACATGGATTGTTTCTCTTTTTCTAAGATGCTGGATCAGTGTTTTAAGGATAAAGGTGAACTCCCTTTAATGCCTCCTAAACCCCATCGACTGCAGCTTGATGATGAATCCCTGGTAATTACTTAAAATAAACACAGCATTAAATTGATATCAAGTGATTGTTTTGTCATGTTTTAGCCACTTTAAATCATCTCTCTTTAATTAGGATGCTGAGAGTCTGTCAAACTTCTTTGAAGAGTCGACACGTGAGTAAAAAACTTGCTTGAACCAGCTTGAAAAGATTTCAATTGGATGTTGTTTTTTGTGGTAACCTGTTGTTGCTGAACTGTAGTGTCATTTGCTTCTAGCCTGGAAAACTCTGTCCAGTGAGCTCCAACTTGGTAGAGTACCAGAAAAAGTGTAAGTTTTTTATCCATGCTTTTACATGTGGGAACAATAGCTATAGTTAAAATGACTGTTTGTTGGCACTAAGTTTGTCTTTGGATTAATTTCATCTTCACTTCAATGCAGCTTAATTCAATTCAGTGACATGCAGACACACCACACAAATGTGAGCATCTTCCTCTCTTCAGACATCATTGTACTTCAGTCTTTAACAGAGGGTGGACAGACCGACAGTACTGTCATAAACCTACCCGTGCACTCCTTTGACTACAGCACTTCTTTTATACCATACAGCTGGTTGGCTGATTGCATGTGTTTAAGTTCAAGCCTAATTTTAGTTCCCAGCCATTCACACAGCCTTTTTGCTTAAAGAACATCTTTGCATGCTACACTGGCTCTCGCTGCCCAAAGCTGAGGAGGAAAGCACTTTTCAAGACCACAAAATTTCACAAAACATTTGGAAGAAAGAAAGAAAAAGAAGAAGAAAAAGAACAATGCAAGTGAAAGTGAAGGCATGCAGAGATGCTGGAAGGGGCTCGTTCTCTGTGACCTTTTTGTTCATGAACATTACACAACTAGGGCAGGGCTGGCAACTCCCATATCTCTCATGGTATGCATTAGTTTCACTTTCTTAAATTAATTAAACAAGTTAAACAGGAATAACTTCCATAAACATGGAAGGGCACAAAAGAACATTTTATTTTATTTGACATTGGTGACTAAGGCAAATAAAACAGTTTTTTGTGTGTGTTTTTATTTTTTCTAAATGAGATTCACCAGAATAGTGCGGCTAAACACATCTGAGGTTAGTTGTTGATTTGAGCTGTTTGGAAGAGTCTTTCCTGTAATTGCATTACATGCCTCCTGCTTCAAATGATTAACGACACGCAGATTCACACTGATTTCGAATAGTGTCCTGAGTAAAAAAATAAAATAAAAATAGTGTCCTGAGTGCTGCTTTCCATCTGGTCCAAATACTTCTGTAGAGAAAAAAACCAAAACAAAAGCAAACTTTTAATACAGAACAAATCTTAAAAGTATGAAACATGTAAAACTAAGTGACCTGCTTAAGAAAAGATATACTCACAGCAGGCAGTCATGACACACATGCTTCACCAAATAATCTACCATGAACAAAAGAAGCAGCTCGTGAAGCAAATGAAGACTTACACTGTAAATTAAAGTGCAGTTTTCCAGTTATCTGTGATAAACGCAGTGCTTTTCCTAATTTAGGAAAAGTCAGAGAATCACCAAAGTTATTACAGTATGTTATCATGAATAAGTGTGTTTAAAATGCAAATGGTTTTGTCGACATTAAAGGTGAATTAATAAAGTTTTTATAACACATTCTAGGGTCATTGAAGTTAAAGCTGAACATCTTCATAAAGCTTTCAATTCTTACATCTCGACGACATCTGGGTGTCAAGGTGGGCTGCAAGAGAAAATAGACGAGCTTGGCTCCATCGCTGACAACTTAGATAAGGTAAGAAGGTGTGGATATATTTATGGATACATGTATATCTGTGTCCATGGGTTCCCTTTTAAATCATTTTCTTTTTCAGGTTTCAAAGGGGACAAAAATCGCTGGCATCACAGGAGGTGCTACAACTGTAGCAGGAGGTGTGGCAGCAGCTGCTGGGGTGATCCTGTCCCCGTTCACGCTGGGAGCCTCGCTGGCACTAACTGCTGTCGGAGTCGGCGTGGCTGCAGCTGGCGGTGTTACTGGTGCATCAGCAGCCATCGCAAATAAGGTGATGGTCTTTAAGGCACTGGCTTAAAACATCTTTGTTCATGGTTTTTGTAGGTTGATAGGTTTTCCTAAATTTTTAAGAGAAAATACATTTTTCAAATCTGTTCTGACTCACTTTTGTTTTTGTTCTTTTGTTAATTTGGAGTTCCAGGACTTCAATCTAAAATGCTGAATGTCTTCTTTTACAATATAAAGTCTCTCAAGATCAAAAGCCCTGTTTTTATGTTATCACAATTTTTAAAAATGGTACTAACTGGAAACTACCCACACTAGTTATCTGAATTTCTGGTATTTAACTGATTGTGAAGCATGTTTTTCCAGGTGAACTGCAACCAGGACCAGAAGAAAATCGAAAAGGTCTTTACCGACTACGAGTCCCTCAGTAAGGGCATTCAGGAGAAACTTGCTTATGTCATTGAGGGCATAGAGCAACTGAGGCAGCATGGTGTCATCATGCTCGAGAGGACCAAGGTGAAGTCAGAGAGGGCCTCCAAGTTGTTGGAGTTCTTTGGTCAAGGAGGGCCATGTGCCAAGGTCTTGGAGGCAAACTCCAAGCCATCTGGGATGATAGAAGGCTTCGCCCTCGGCATGGATATGTACTTCACCAAAGGAAAAGATGGAACCAAGGTGAAGAAGGGCTTTGAGTCAAAGTTGGCAAAGAAACTCCGCTCCTTGGCGGTGGATCTCCAGAAAGGACTGGATGAGTCCATCAAAATCAAAGAACTGTTTGAAAAGTATTGTTAGGAGGGAATTTTTCTCCACTTGAATATCTTTTGTTTTGGGGTTGTCTTTTAATGTTAATTTTCAGCTTTTACAAAAGTTCATTGATCGATATATATATTACCTCTTTGGCAACAGGTTTGAAAACAGAACAAAACTTTTAGTGCAACTTTAGGAATTGTAACTTCAAGCAGTTTCTTTTAAATGGCATGTAGTTATTAATGCTGTATAAAACTGAGATTGTGTTAACCTCCCTTACTTTAGCTGGTTTTTCCTGTTAAGATTATTTCTAAAACTAATCTAATCAGATTTTGTCGATTCACACCTTAAGCTAGGTGTTAAACAGAATGCCATGACATTTTTAAAAATGACTTCTAAATAAACTACTTAAAGACCGACACCATCCACCAGGGGGCAGTGTAATTCTTTTTTCTGTTTTTTATTTCACCTGATACTGAGTACAGTTTTAAAATACATAGACTTTTGTCATTCCTAGCTTGACTTTATATGTCATGAGTGGTTGTTAACTGGAAGCTTAAAATGAAACATTTTAAATGTTACTTCTCCATAAACTTACTCAGGCCCCAGACCTGACTGTGTGTCATACAAACCGTATGACAATCACAGAAATGCAGTCAAACTTTTTCTCAGTGTTTATTCAAATACTTCTGCCTATCATTCAACCTATTTATGCTATAAACCTTTTTAAATTTTCACACTATCATAAGGTGTGGACACCTTGGGTTGTGAAAAAAGTTTGAATGACCTAAAAAAAAAAAAAAATAGGGTTTGGGTCCAAATTAATGTCACCTTCAGGACCAATAGTGTCTTATTGAGTCCCTTGCAAGCTTACAGCTCCCTCATAACATGAATAGTTAAAAATAGCTATGATCAGAAATGGTCTCTTTTACTTCCTGATGCCAGTCTCAAATCCTTCAGTCACCTATCAGGGGAAAAAACATCTCAGTGAGCTTAAAACAACAACAAAAACTTAGAAAGAGAAACTGGCTCTGCACAGTGGACTGCAAAGGACTGACTTAATTTGAGAAACGTGGAACGTCAGATGTATCTGCCAGGGTGCAGGGAGCTTGAGCCAAACCGCAGACACTGATTGCAGTGTCAATCTCATACGGGCCGATGATGTTGGGGTCCAACTTATGAGAAGGGATGTCTTTGGCAGCTAGCCATACCTTCTGCCCTGGCTGGTACAAGGGGGCCGGAGTGCAGCGGCGGTTGGTAAAGAGATGATGACGTTCTGGTTAACTGGTTCGGAGGAGAGCTTGTCGCATCTTGTACCAAGTTCGTTGGCAGCACTGAAGATGCTGCTGCACGGAGGGGACAGCAAGGTTGAGCTCGTTTTCAGGGAAGAGCAAGGGTTGATAGCTGAGAGAACCTTCAAATGGCCATAATCCTGTAGTAGAAGATATAAGTGAGGTATGTGCATTTTCCATCCAAGGTAATTATGTGGCCCAGGTGGTGGGATTTTGGGGTACTAAGCAGCGGAGCGCTGACTTCAGCTCCAGGAGGACTGGTACCATGATCGGGGTCCCCCAGGAATGCTTGGCGGATGACCTCTTCTATACGCCAGGTGAGGGCGCCCACCTTGCAGGTGGCAGGTAGGATGGGAGCCAGTGAAGATGGCTCGGTGTTTGGAGAATAGTTGTAGGAGAGCACGTCTGGCTTGATATTCTGAGAGCCTGAGAGATAGGAGAGACAGAGGTTAAAAAGAGCAGAGAACAGTGACCAGCAGGCTTGCAGAGAGTTAAGCCTTTTAGCTGTTCATTGATAAATTAGATTTTTCTGGTCTGTCTATATGAGAAATGGTTGTTCCATTCCCTCCAGCCAGGATGCCATTCTTCCAGGTCCAACTCGATTGCCAGGAGCT